GGTTCTTTTTGTGAAAGTGATTAGTCATGTCCTAACTACAGAGTACGAAACAACAGAATTATTTACCAAATGGTCATAGTCAAAAGAAGAAAAGAAATGGAGAAATCTGGAACTAAAACAATCAACCCACTGTTTGAAAAGAAAATAGGGGAGTGACAAAAAGGCCATTACCAAAGCTGAGCAGTTGAAAAATTAGAACAGGCCAGAACAAGTGGGACCTTTTCCTACACAACAAGACCCGAGAGAGTCATTATTAGATAACTGCTCACTGTTAGAGTTCCCAGGGGAGCAATTCATAGACTACCCTGGTTCCTTTTATCCAGGTGGACTGGATAATTCTCTGGCATTTTGAAGCCAAGGAACAAGAGTCATAATTTTGCATCTGCTTTATTTGAATGACCTGCTTCTCGCAGCCTATTCTGTAATAGTACTGTGTTAGGATGAACTGTGAGAAGCACAGAATATAAACCAGGCACAAAGAATTCCTGGTCATATTCATTTTTGCCTGAGAGCTTTGGAGGCAGAAGAAAACACATTAGAACCTGACAGTTTTCCAGGAAAATTAATAACAACTCTGAAGGCTGTTCAGCATTTTACAGCTATCAAGGTAATCAAAGAGATTGGATCTGGTTTTATAATGATACAACTCCCCCGCTGTATATGTTGCCTTCATTGCTAGAAACGTTAATGTTTGCAAAAGACACGAAGGGTAAAATTTAGCACTCAGTGAAATGGGTGCAAATCCATTGACATCAACTTGGGTTACACCCATTCACCCATCAGTGATGAATTTTGCCTATGTTCATTTAGTCTGAAATCCTTATTTTTAATACACTAGTAAAGTGGGTTCTCTCACTCTCCAGCCTGGACCACACAGAGGATAAGAGCCTGCTACTGCTAGCAATTAATGGAATTAGGGTGGGATTCACAAAGGTATTTAGGCACCTAAGTCCCTTTTTTAGGAACAACTGCGATTGACAAAACCCCCGTTTGGCTACTGCCTAACCCTATTGGTGCCTGCATTCCCTTAGTGCCTACATTTCTTAAGGAAAGTTTCCCTAAATGCCTGTGCTTCTACCTCTGTGCACGTGCCTGGCTGCCTCACTCTGGGTGTCTGGATGCCCATTTCCCGCCTAAGCCCTGAGTGATTTGCTAACTGGGGAAGGCAGTTCACTCAAAACAGCTGGGGATGTGTGTACCAGCAGACCTGCTTTGTAACCTTTACCCCAGTGGTTAGAGCACTCACCCATACTGTAGGAAACCACAGGTTTGAGTCCCCCTCTACCTCATGAGGAAAGCAGGGATTGCCACCTCCTCAGGTATGTGCTATAACCACTGGACTGTAGAGTCATTCTCACTTTCTCCCTGGCCCAGTAATTATTTAACTATTCAATTATTGAATTAAAGTGGAACAACTGCAATAGGAGTGATTGAGGGAGACCCACATCAGAATATGCCAGAGCCCACTGGGTAGGACACTGATGACTTGGTTTTAAGAGGTGTTGAGTGACTATAATGAGTTTCCTGAATATGGATTTCAGCACCTCATATTAAACACACACGTATGAAAATGTTGACTTAAATTTCCTTAACATTTTAAAATGTAAACAGTAGGTCAAATCATGAAGTTGTGGCTAAAGAAAACCCTGTGAGAGTCTATAAAACAGCAAACCCAGGACATATGTTGGCATCCTGTCTTGAAACCTGATCTACAGCAGTAGTTCTCAACCAGTTATCCGGGGGCTCCTCGTGAGCCACGAGCTGGTTTCAGTGGGTCCACCAAGCAGGGCTGGCATTAGACTTGCTGGGGCCCAGGGCAGAAAGCCGAAGCCCCACCGCCTGGGGCTGAAACCCAGAACTCCAAGCCCTGCCACCCTGGACTGAAGCCAAAGCCTGAGCAACTTAGCTTCACAGGGCCCCCAGTGGCATGGGGCCTGGACAATTGCCCTGCTTGCTGCCCCCTAACGCTGGCCCTGGCTTTTATATGCAGAAAAAGGTTGAGAACCCCTTATCTAGAAAACATTTAGGGGCTAGGCACTTCTGAGCTGCCACCCATTAACCTACTAACAGCTGCCAGCGTAGAAGCTGACCTCTGACGGAGGACTCAAATCCTGGGATCCAGCTGGTGGAACAGTGGGGGTCCTGACTGATTCCCAGCTCTTATTTAATCCAAGCACAGGAACAGGAAGTTATCCATGCAACTAGATTCCGATTGCTTCCATTGTTCCTGATCTCCTGATAATCTCACTCCTGGTTTACACTTTGGCCTGTTTTGGACCCTGACCCCCTGGTATCCTGACCCTGTGTCACCATGCCTCAGTGGGTCACAGCTGAGAATACCAGATTCAGGTCAAACTGCTGAGAAATAAGGCAGAATCACCCCAGAACTGGTGGTTATTCTATCATCAGATATACCAAGTCAGAAACAAAAGTAAACTTACGTCTCACCGCACTGGTTAACAAGAAGTCCAAACTGCAGTCTCCTTAGACATTCCAGCACTCATTTCACCACCCAGACACTGGATTTTATGATGAGTGGTTATTTAAAACCAATTTAATCTAACAAAGGGTCCTTCTAATCCCAAAAGATCAGCCACATAGGCAGGTCTATAATTCAGATCTTACCAAATAATCACGCTGTTGCCAATCCTTTAGTATCTAATATCTAAAGCTTTATTTATAAGAGAAAAGAAGAGGAGTGAATTAAAATGGGTAAGGAAGTCATATTCATACAATCATTGCAAAGTTCGTGGATCAGGTTTGTAGCAGTGATGTAGCAGACTGCTGGCTTGTAAAGTCTCTGGTAACTTCTGGTAACTAATCTCTTCTGGAAGAAATGTCTGACTATTCATGATAGGCGAGTCTCACGTTCTCAGAGGTTCAATCCAGATAATTATGCAAAAATCCATGTGTACTTATCTGAACTCCTTCATCTGGAAGCCAGGCTGGAACACTCATGAGAAAAAATTCTAGCTTGAGCTTTCTAGTCCGCATTCACTGGAGAGATTGGCATATTATATGAAACCAAAAGAGAAAAGGGCTGTATTCATGGTGCTGGCTGAATCGGAACTATCATAAGGAAAACACCCTTGACTAAATTCTGGCAGATTCACTTCCACTCCTAGCCAAATCTAGGATGTAGCAAGGCAGTAAATATAAAAAAAAACACACATCAAAAAAGTTAACCATTTTTTCTGACCCTCAGAAAAGTTAAAGGTGACGTTTATGTTTTATCAAAAGTAGCTTGTTCACCTCTACTTGCTATATTTGCAGATACACTCCTCCCACAACTCCCAGTCTGAATGCATGTCTTGGGAATATAAAGTTCCCTGTCATTTCATATCTGATTTAAAAGAGAATCAAATGTTGTGTCCCAGTCTAATAGAGACCAGGAATGTCTGGACTCCAGAACTAGGTTATGTTCCTTCTTTCGAGAAAAATCAGTTAACACACAAACAGTATAATTTATGATACTGCTTATAAATATATTATTTATATAGACTCTTGAATGGGTTGGGGAGGGACTCCAGTGATGGTTTTGTCAGTGGGGTTTATTACATTTTCACTATATTCATGTTGGTATTATCTGGGGATAATTGCTGGAATCTGTTTATGTATAAATGTATTATTAGGAGGTTTTCAAAATGCTAGGAGTTTATGATGGCCACTCCTTTATGTAGTAGAGTAAACAATGGGGGGTGGGGGGAATAGGTGGCTAAAGTAAAAGGCAGTTTAAAAGACTCAGATATAGATGTAACCCAACAGAACTCTTGTGCCCAGTTCCATATTCAAGCATTCAGACAGACCGTTTCTATGACCAAAGACTCTCCCAAGTGCTCTGTAACTAAATGTGTTGTAACTGCTGCCAAGGCACATTCAATACTTTGTTATGAACAAATGGCCGAGTCCATCACTTAAGATCACAACTCTTAGCCAGCTGACTCAGGTGTCCGTCAAAACCAGACCACATCTGGGGACTCAGGTATCTGGGTTTGTCCTGCAGAGAAGTGGGTTTGTCTATAAAAGGCACTTTAAGTTAAAGGGGTTCAAGTTGTTTCATTAGTAATCATTGATGTGGCAGGCAGCCTTGCAGAGGTGTAGGAAAGAGATCTTTATTAAGAATGTGTAGTGGTCATTGTTACATGCTGAGCTCTACAGTTTGAGGAAAACCACATTGGCCTCTGCTTGCATTCCTGAGCCCCCTTTTGTTATACCCAACTAGGTCCCTCCTGAAACTTGAACCTCTTTCTCCAGTTCCACTCACCATACTACATATGTGAAAGGGTTGTTAATGACCCTGTTTTGAATAAAAGTGTATTTTAATTAATATATTCTGGGCTGCATCCTGTTTCCAATTATGTTGGGAGCAAAAATCCCTTTAACTTCATTGGCAGCAGGATCGAGACTTTTTAGGTTCTTCTCAGTAAAGTGTATACCAAGACCTCGTGCACTCATATCAAACAAAATAACTTTCTGTCATCACCTGTTTGCCCTTCTTGATCCTTGAAGATGCATCTCGTTCCATTCAGAATACCTGCACAATTATTATTCCTGGAGACTGTGTGTGGCGCAAACATGGTTAACTCTGATGAGCGGTTTACATTTTAAAAAAATAATCAGCAAATAGGAATTCAAATCTCTCCTTTGTGCCTCGGGTACCAATAGTTCTTTCCCTGAGCTGTGAGGCAGCAGAGGTTGACTGATGCTGCTGTCACAATTGTATGTTTCACACGTGCTCCTGCAATGCACTGCAGCCAGTCAAACCACTGCATATAATTTCACTTCCAATATTGTGCCAGCAGAGTCAGGGCCACTAACGACATTTTCCTTTTCAAGCATTGAGCTAACGTATTGTATTCATTTTCTCTGCTGGAGAAAAATAACTGGGCTATTCACTTGACCGCTGTGGGAATGTATGCCGCTGAAATGATTCAGTAGGGACAAAACATAGAGGCGATAAGCAAGGGTTTTTCCTCAGTGGATAATGTCCATACCTAGAAAATGAAACAAAGCCAAAAAAGAGCATCAGAAAAGTTCCCCAAGCTTATCATTATGGTAATTCCTGGCCGCAGCCGAGATCAGGGCTTCATTGTGGTAGGTGCTGCACAATCATATTAAATTGATAGTCCCTCCCTTGAAGAACGTACAATCTAAATAGAAAAGTTGGACGAAAGGGGGGAGAAAGGGAACTTGACTTTACAGAGGGTACAGAGCGATTAAGTGATTAACCAAGGTCACACAAGGAGTCTGTGGCAGAGACAAGGACTGAATCCAGATCACCGGAGTCTGAGCCTAAAGCCAAGGACAACCTTCCTTCATCCTGGGGTTCATCCCAGTCCTGTGTCTTTGGGTGTGGAGCTCTGCCCCCATAAGCGTTCTCTCAGCGGGAGATGTAGGTGCTCAGCACCTAGGAAGATCAATGTCAGGAAGCAGGGTCGGCAGCAGAGCCAGCCTCCAGGCAACCAAACGAGCACCTGTAGTAGGCTGCCTGATTGGCTACAGCCTCTGATTGGTCATCAGAGACAGCAGACTGGCTCTTAAACCCAGAGGCAGCAACAGTGCACCAGCTGCTCAAAACAGTGCTTCACGGCTGCCTTGCCTCACTCCAGGTAAATTGTCTGTGACCCTCAGCTCTGATTTCTGGCTTTGGAGTCCGGCCTCTGGCACCGGCTCTGACCTTGGGTGCTGACTCCTGCTCTAACCGTTGGGCATGACCACCCCCCTCTTGCTCACTGACAATCAGACCATTTAAGTAAGTGTCAAAGCACATAGATACCTACATTTATTCAACCAGGTGTGAGAATTTTGCCCTGAGGGTTCATCTATGAGTAGTGATGATGTTAAAATGCCTTAGCCTCAAGAGCTGCACTGAAGTTGTTGAAATTATGAACCGATAAAAACATTATGTTTGGTGCCAAAGTTAAAAATTTTAAAACCAATGTACTAACAGTATTACTCTGTGGTCTGGAAGCAGCTGCACTGAACAAAACAGACATAGGATCATAGGGTGAGAAGGGGCACAAAGGGTCATCTAGTGTACCCTCGCCAAGAAGAAGCATTTGTTGTGTCTACACCATCCAAGACAGAGGGCTATCCAGCCTCTTTTCGGAAACCTCCAGTGAAGAAGATTCCATGATTTTCCTAGGCAGTCTGTTCCATTGTCCTACTGTTCTTAAGTTAGGAATTTTTTTTACTGAAATTTAATCTAAATCAGCTATGCTGTAGTTTGAACCCATTGCCTCCTGTCCTGCCCTCTGTGGCAAGAGAGGACAATTTTTCTCCATCCTTTTGAATGACAGCCTTTAAAATATTTGAAGACTGTTATCATGTCTCCCCCTTAATCTCCTCTTTTCCAAACTAATCAGAAGGTTGGAGGCAGCAGAGGTGAAAGTTCTTTGAAGGACAGCAGGTGCAAAGTGGAATGATTGTTAAGACAAATAAAGAGGGTAGAAGGAGCAGGATGTGAGATCAAGGTGTGGGATTGGTTACAGTTGAAGAGATTGCAATGGTGGGGACACTGCAAAAGATAAATGGATGATAGAATGCCAAAGAAAATAATGCAAACACAACCAAGGTTAGTCCAACCTAGAGACTAACCACTGACTGGATGGCAGGACATTGTACGTAGGGACATGACTAGGCTCGGCTTATTGGAGGAACAAGGCCTGGACAGGAATAAATGGCAATACTGTACTGTTGCCCATGTCTGCAAAGATGCTCCAGGATGAAAGATGAAGAGGAATGTAAAAAAATGAGATTTTTTTATTCAACAGAATTGTTATTTTTGTTCTTTCAAAGTTGTATCTACTGACTTTAGTGGTAAAATGTGTGTGCGCGGTTTTCACTGCTCTTAGCTCTGCAGGAGCCAAAACTGCTATGGAATGGTGAACTGGATTCTATTCCTTCCGGTGCACCATCAACACAACTATTTACTAAGTTGCAATTAATGTCACCCTTGCAAATCCACTGACTATTACAGGATTGCAGAGAGGACATAACTGGAAAACAGTGGTGTTGCACAGAGGTAGTGATGGTCTAACTTGGCTTGTGTAACCTGTAATACTAGTGATGATGCTCAGGATGGATGGGAAGACCTCAACTTTGCTGTCCAGGTCCAGGCTGATTTGGGTAACCCACTGGACAGTGTGTGTTACAGGTCTCCTGATGTGCCCAGTTTATTGATGGTATATGTCTATTAGAGTCCCAGCTAAGGACACTTGGTTCTTTTGCTCAAGCTGGAGCAGCTCATGCTCATAGCTCAGGAGGTCCCTGGTTGAATCCTCAGTATGTTGGCCAAGAGGGTGGCCATCACATTTAAAGGGCTGGCAGTGAGATGAAAACAGAGCCCGTTTGACCTGGGAGTCATTGAGAGAGAAACAATGAGGGACCTCCAATGCCATTTATATGCGTTAGCTCTTCATAACAGAACCCCACACTTTAACCTTTCTGTGTCACAGTTTCTCCCTCTGTAAAAAGGGGATAATAACATGAACATAAGAACGGGCATACTGGGTCAGACCAAAGGTCCATCTAGCCCAGTATCCTGCCTTCTGACAGTGGCCAATGCCAGGTACTTCAGAGGGAATGGACAGAACAAGTAATCATCAAGTGATCCATGCCCTGTCGCTCATTCCCAGCTTCTGGCAAAGAGAGGCTAGAGACACCATCCCTGCCCATCCTGGCTAATAGCCATTGATGGACCTATCCTCCATGAATATATCTAGTTCTTTTTTGAAGCCTGTTATAGTCTTGGACTTCACAACATCCTCTGGCAAAGAGTTCCACAGGTTGACTGTGTGTTGTGTGAAGAAATACTCCCTTTTGTTGGTTTTAAACCTGCTGCCTATTAATTTCATTTGGTGACCCTTGGCTCTTGTGTTATGAGAAAGAGTAAATAACACTTCCTTATTTAGTTTCTCCGCACCAGTCATGATTTTATAGCCCTCCATCATATCCCCCCTTAGTTGTCTCTTTTCCAAGGTGAAAAGTCCCAGTCTTATTAATCTCTCCATATCCCTAACAATTTTTGTTGCCCTTTTCTGCACCTTTTCCAACTGAAATATATCTTTTTTGAGATGGGGCGACCAAATCTGCATGCAGTATTCAAGATATGGGTGTACCATGGACTTATACAAAGACAATATGATATTTTCTGTCTTATTATTTATCCTTTTCTTCATGATTCCCAAAATTTTGTTAGCTTTTCGACTGCCACTGAACATTGAGTAGATGTTTTCAGAGAACTATCCACAATGATTCCAAGACCTTTTTCTTGAGTGGTAACAGCTAATTTTATCTGAGGTGCTTAGGTAATAATGGAGGTCAGATAAGTACTTATTATTTTATATGTATAGTTGGGATTATGTTTTCCAGTGTTCATTACCTCGCATTTATCAATAGAGAATTTACTCTGCCATTTTGTTTCCCAGTTTCCCAGTTTTGTAAGATTCCTTTGTAATTCTTCACAGTCTGCTTTGGATTTAACTATCTTGAGTATTTTGTATCAGCTGCAAATTTTGCCACCTCACTGCTTACCCCTTTTCCCAGATCATTTATGAATATGTTGAACAGTACAGAATATGAATATGTTGTTCCCAGGAGACCCTTAGGGACACCACTATTTACCGCTCTTCATTCTGAGAACTGACCATTTATTCCTATCCCTTGTTTCCTATCTTTTAACCAGTTACTGATCCATGAGAGAACCTTCCCTCTTATCCCACTGACTGATTTCCTAGGGGTGCTGTGAGAATAAGACAGCCAATGACTATCAACTGTTTTGAAACTAAAAGAGACTACAGACCACATTCACATCACTAACCTATTGACACCCATGGGACTATTCACCTGAGTAGCTCCTCATCAGACTCTCTCTCTCGTAGGTACTTATGTGCCCCCCATTACCTGAGCACCTCACAATCCTTAATGTATTTACCCTTGTCACACACCTGTGGGTTGGGGCAGTGCTATTATCCCCATTACACAGATGGAAAGCTTAGGCACAAAGGGAGTAAGTCACTTGCTCAAGGTGCCATAGGAAGTCTGCAGTAGAGCAGGAAAGTGAACCCAAGCTCTCCAAGTCCAAGTGTTGGTCCTCCTTTGAGCAGGGGGTTGCACTAGATGACCTCCTGAGGTCTCTTCCAACCCTAATCTTCTATGATTCTAAGTCCTAGTCTAATACCCTAACCATTGGGCCATCCTTCCTCCACTGAGTAGGGGCTTCACAACCTGGTCCTATATAAGTGTTGCTTTTACTTTTTCCACAATGACCACTTTGTGGATTTTCTTAAAAACTGCCATGGCCAAAGAGTCACCCTCATTCTCTATCGCTGAAGCACTCTGCACCCAATGGAATGCTCATGACTATATTTATCCATCTTTCATGTTGTTTTTAAATTGCTTTTAGCGTGTGATGTTTCCTTATCTCAAACAAGAGAAAGGAAAAAGGAAGGAGTCTATTTCTGCCATCTCTTTCCTTCTGCAACAAATTTCCCCTACCCAAGCTTTCTAAAAAGCTTTTGTGTTTTTAAAATTAGCCCTGTGAGGTGTTTGGGAAAGTTATGCTCCATACGATGAAACAGTCACAAGGGAGCGGGTTGTTTCTATAAACACAAGGCTGAGTTGAGTGAGTCTTCTGGCTGGTGTTCTCCTACTGCGTGAGGGCGAATGGCGTAGGAAGCCTCTAAAGAAACATGCTACCACCACCAGGGACTCTGTGCTGGACGTTTCAGATAGAATTGTTTCCCATCCCATCTGGGCCTACATTCAAGTAATTTGGTAAATTGGTTTGTGCAGCTCTCTTAAAGGAAGAAGAAATTGGCTTACTCTAAAAGCATTGCCCATGATCCCCCTCCTTATCAGTTAGATATTTGTTTTGCAGTGTGGTCCAAGTAACTAAAGAGTTAAACATTTAACCATGTGAGCTGACTTTTCTAATATGCTCACGCACTTTTTGTTCTTTGCTGGCAAAATGTCCAAGGCAAGTATGTAAAATGGGCAGTAGGGTGCAAACTCAGCTTGACCATGTGCATTGGGTATTGTGCATGGAAAATAGGGGGTTGAATGCACATGCTATAAATGGCAATCCATGTAAATTGCTGTATTTTTATTGACTAAAAGTATCTGAGAGAACACGAGGATACATTGTTACAATTAATGTTCTACTCTGCACTGGCATTCATGTAATTAGCCTGGAAACAAAGTCCATACTGGAAGCTGCTGGAAAAGTCTGATGGTTTTTGAAAGCTAGTTAGATTTCTCTTTTGATTTCTAGCGCTCCTTGGGAAAATATTTTGCTGAATAAAATTTGACAACATTGTTAAGGCGATCCAAAGCGGTGTGTTGTGATTCTTCAATCTCTCTAGCCTCTGAGCCCTGTGGCAGGGAAAACACAAAGAATATAAACTATGAGGGTGGCACAGAACAGTAAGTTTACAGACTTAACAAATCCTGCCTTCGTTGCTGCTCTCCCACACAAATTCATAGATTCCAAGGTCAGAAGTGACCCTTCTGTTCATCAAGTCTGATCTCCTGTACAACACAGGCCATGGAAAGTCCCCAAAATAATTCCTCTTTCAATGCAGCAGATTAAAAACCAACAACATTGATACAGCACATTGTAAATCAAGTGCTGGGTGTTGACCTTATTGGGATGTGCATGAGAGTTGTTTGCAGTGAGCATCCAGGCTGAGGGATCCCTGGCCAAGACATCTTCCCTTCAGCTGTTTGACCCTGTCCTGGACACTCATCTCCCATCCTAATTACACCCTGAGATCCTAAATCACGGTAAAAATGTCAACCTGGCTTCAGAAAGGGGAACACTTTGTTCCCAGCCAGCATGCCGTATAATAATATTCTGTATCTTTGCTTTGTGTCACCAGCACAGTGGCTTTGATTTCAGCAAGCTTGGAACTTATCATTCTTATGCAAGCCTTCAAGGGGGGGATATGAAAGGCATATACAACAGGTATGCATTATGTCACAAAGAGTTTCCAAGCAGCTGGGAAGACTCATGGATAGCGAGATATCTCAGGAATGTCCCTCATTCGTTAAACACACGGATACAGGATGAACTCCTGCTTGCACTGAGCCTGGTTGGGGCACTGGGAAACTTTTTATTATTGGAGTGCTGAAAGCTATTGAACAAAACTGTAAACCCCGTATGATGGAAGCCATGCATTCAGTTGTGATTATGTTAACACATGTTAGTAAAAAGAAGTCTGCATCAACATGTTGATCTACGTAAGTAAAAAATGCTTTAACCACAGTCCTTGCTACAGTATTAACATGCTAACCATAAAACGTTTAGAGCAAACAAATCAAACAGCAGTATATAATTGCTTATATCTTGCCATTTAGAAGCATCTTACTTATTTGTCAAAAAAGCCAGGTTGAACAGGTATCTTTGACTTAGAATAGTCATTGTAGTCAAGGACAGTCAGAAGGCTCCAAAGCTTACTTGTGCTCTGATGTCAGGACCATACTGGGGGGAGAGGTACAGTTTGCCGCCCCCCTCCACCATACAGAGAGATGAGCTGGAATCACAAAGTTTAGAGCCCTTCATATGTGAGGTTTAGGATCAGGATTCTCTTGTCAAAGTGAATGCAATGCAGGGCCGAACTGAGAGCACAGGTGTGAATGTAAGTCTTCGCTCCACCCTCAGTCTGGGCAATGGCAGTGCAAACATTCTCTACCACACATCAGTTTTCCAGCACAATCCTTTCCTGGACCACACGGTTTTGTTGGCAGAATTACCAAAATTGGTGAACAAGAGAATCAGGGTGGCTAGAATATATGCAGCCTTTAATAAGGCATTTGATGATGGTAAAGTCACCTTTCATCCACAGATGGAAATACTGAGCACTATTAAAAATAATAATATTTTGCACGTTCTTATTTCAATCCATCCAAGATTCTCCAAACATTTTACAGACATGCATGAATGGATCTTTGCTACATTCCTTTAAGTAGTATTTTCCCCGTTGCGCAGGGAAGTTGAAGCATGAACGTAAGAACAGAAGAACGTCCATACTGGGTCAGACCAAAGGTCCATCCAGCCCAGTAACCTGTCTGTCAACAGTGGCCAATGCCAGGTGCCCCAGAGGGAGTGAACTTAACAGGTAATGATCAAGTGATCTCTCTCCTGCCATCCATCTCCACCCTCTGACAAACAGAGGCTAGGGACACCATTCCTTACCCATCCTGGCTAATAGCCATTAATGGACTTAACCTCCATGAATTTATCCAGTTCTCTTTTAAACCCTGTTATAGTCCCTAGCCTTCACAACCTCCTCAGGCAAGGAGTTCCACAGGTTGACTGTGTGCTGAGTGAAGAAGAACTTCCTTTTATTTGTTTTAAACCTGCTACCAATTAATTTCATATGGTGGCCCCTAGTTCTTATATTGTGGGAACAAGTAAATAACTTTTCCTTATTCACTTTCTCCACACTACTCATGATTTTATATACCTCGATCATATCCCCCCTTAGTCTCCTCTTTTCCAAACTGAAAAGTCCTAGCCTCTTTAATCTCTCCTCAGATGGGACCCGTTCCAAACCCCTAATCATTTTAGTTGCCCTTTTCTGAACCTTTTCTAATGCCAGTATATCTTTTTTGAGATGAGGGGACCACATCTGTATGCAGTATTCAGGAAGTAGGCGTACCATGGATTTATATAAGGGCAATAAGATATTCTCCATGATATTCTCTATCTCTTTTTTAATGATTCCTAACATCCCGTTTGCTTTTTTGACTGCTGCTGCACACTGCCTAGACGTCTTCAGAGAACTATCCACGATGGCTCCAATATCTTTCTCATGATTAGTTGTAGCTAAATTAGCCCCCATCATATTGTATGTATAGTTGGGGTTATTTTTTCCAATGTGCATTACTGTACATTTATCCACATTAAATTTCATTTGCCATTTTGTTGCCCAATCACTTAGTTTTGTGAGATCTTTTTGAAGTTCTTCACAGTCTGCTTTGGTCTTAACTATCTTGAGCCATTTAGTATCATCTGCAAACTTTGCCACCTCACTGTTTACCCCTTTCTCCAGATCATTTATGAATAAGTTGAATAGTATTGATCCTAGGATTGACCCTTGGGGAACACCACTAGTTACCCCTCTCCATTTATTCCTACCCTTTGTTCCCTGTCTTTTAACCAGTTCTCAGTCCATGAAAGGATCTTCCCTCTTATCCCATGGCAACTTAATTTACATAAGAGCCTTTGGTGAGGGACCTTGTCAAAGGCTTTCTGGAAATCTAAGTACACTGTGTCCACTGGATCCCCCTTGTCCACATGTTTGTTGACCCCCTCAAAGAACTCTAACAGATTAGTTAGACATGATCTCCCTTTACAGAAACCATGTTTTGTGCAACAATTTATGTTCTTCTATGTGTCTCACAATTTTATTCTTTACAATTGTTTCAACTAATTTGCCCAGTACTGACGTTAGCCCATAATTGCCAGGATCACCTTTAGAGTCCTTCTGAAATATTGGTGTTACATTAGCTATCTTCCAGTCATTGGGTACAGTAGCTGATTTAAAGGACAGGTTACAAACCCTAGTTAATAGTTCTGTAATTTCACATTTGAGTTCTTTCAGAACTCTTGGGTGAATGCCATCTGGTCCTGGTGACTTGCTACTGTTACAGAGTCCCTGGGTCAATGCTCTGAAACTACTCCATACAAAGTCAGTCAGGACTCTGGGGGAGCATGCTTCCTCTCTCTGAGCATACTGTCTCCAGGGCAAGAAGCTTACACAGCTTTGACCTTCCTGAGTCTGACCTCGGAGCATTCAGCATCCCCTTCCATACCATGCGCTTCCCTCTGCGAGTCTGCACCCCAGCTCCACAGTTAGACATGACTCTCAGCCTGCCGATAAACAGAAGGTTTATTCGTCGACAGGAACACAGCATAGAACAGAACTTGTTAGCACAGAAATCAGTGACTTTCAGCCAAGTCCATCTTGTGGGGAAGGGAGCCCAGAGCCAGGGCTCTGGTCTTCCCCCTCAGCCCCAAGACAGTCAAGACTGACTTGCTTCCAGCTGAATGGCCCCTGCCCTGTCCGTAGCGCCTCCTCTGGCCTTTGTCTCCCTTCCTGGGCCAAGAGTCACCTGGTTGCATCCCCCTCCTGTGTCTCAGGTTACGAAGGGGAGGCTATAGCATCAGTGCAGGCAGTTGGAGCAACCTCCGCAAAAGTCACACCCCCTTATTCCCACCACCTAGACATTGGTGCAATACACAGGGAAACTGAGACACACACAGCATTCATGCAAAACAGTGAGACTCACATACAACATAAAAAGGGAAAATCCCCACTTTGTCACACCTACATAGGGAAATAGTATTGAATAATGGGATCTTCGAACTAGCAGCAAAAGATATGACGTGATCCAACGAATTGAAGCTGAAGCTAGCTAAATTCAGACTGGAAATAAGGCACACACTTTTAACAATGAGAGTAATAGACTATTGGAACAATTTACCCAGGGCTGCGGTGGATTCTCCTTCACTGACAATTTTTAAAATCAAGATGGTGTGTTCTTCTAGCCGGTCTGCTCTAGCAATTATTTTGCAGAAATTCTCTGGTCTGTTACACAGAAGTTCAAATTAGAAGATAACAATGGTCCCTTCTGGCCTTGGAATCTAATAATGTATGAATCTCCATGTCTCTGCAAAACTCTGTTCATTTTATTATTTATATCTTCCCTTCCCCACCTGATTTGTCTGTTTTGTCCTCCGATTGCATCCTCTCTGGCACACGAACTGTAATGTCCTTTGTGACCTGTGTGTACAGCCGCTCGCACAATGATCCTTGACTGGGGTGTAGGCTTACTACGAATAATAATGATAACCTTTTGACTCCAATTCCTGAGCGTAAGCCACATTCCTTTTCTGAAAAAAACATTCTATGTTTCAGGATCATTCTCCCATAGAAATTAGGTTGCGTCTAACAATTACCACCTAACTTTTCAAACCTAAAGTTAGGCTCCTAAATCCACAGCCAACAGCCAGAGTACCAGAAGTGCTGTCAGTGGGAGCTGCTGGTGGTCAGCACTTCTGAAAATCAGACCTACTGTTATTTAAATGCTTAAAAATGGTGGCAGCAGCTGGATCCCAGTTCCATGGAAGTGAATGGCAAAATATTATTGATTTCAGTGATGTAGCGTCAAGCCTTTAGGGAGATTAAGCAAATGTTGAGAACTGTACGAGTAGATTAAGAGCAATGAATGGACTAGGTGGTATCCATTAGGAGCTGTGGTAGCTATTACCAGCTATTACTAGTCTAGCCATGATGAGAATTCCCTGACTTGGAAAGTGCAGTCCTAAGCACTGGGACTTAATCTCTGATGCCTTAAATGGTCTTTGTAAATGCTCCTTCTGTGGTTGTGGTTCCGTTATGGAAGAATCTTAATGATGGCCTAGCCCGGTGTCTAGAATATCTTTAATAGTTCGGCTCTTTTGTTGCCTGCCAGTTCGTTTTGTATGAAAAATGCAATGAAAAGGAAATAGAATGAGAAATGACGACTCTGGAAAGTGAGCAGATAGCAAATGTTATTCACATTAGAGCAATGAATCCCCACCTTTTTGTGTGTTTTGGGCACTGCTTTTTTTCCTTTTGTCTCTTGTTTTGGATCATTCGGGAAGACTGGATCAGGATGAGTTGGCTAAAAGGAAATTGCAGAAATGATGTGGAATGAAAAGGGATTTGTTTTCTTTAGCATGTCTTGGTCTGTGTATCTGAGAGGCTTCTGGGTGTGGTCTGATCTTGTGGCTGCATCTGTGTGAGCTGAACACATGCCTCTCTCTCTCTCTCACACACACACACACACACGATAGTGCAGCAAAAGTTCGTCTGTCTTCCCTGAGCTTTGACTTATTTCTTACATTACTCAGAACTTGGTGCAAACATTGCAAAAAGGCTCCATAAACATAGCACCCGGGCCAACACTGCCAAGTCTTGGGGCAGCAGCACCATTTGGGTTCATTACCTAGAATTTCCCAGGTCCACGTGTGTCCAGGCTACAGTGGAGACACCATGTTCAGCCGCTGGGGACTGTGGCATACATAGCTCCACATCAGCACCATTAGGCTTTATGGACCAACTCTAGCCTTGGCAGAAGTGGGTGTAACTCCCATTGAAGTCAGTTCACCAGCTCGCACCTGCACTGAATTTGGATCTACGCTGCTGGATGCTGGTTGAGACTGTTCAAAGATCTCTAACCCTGAAATGCTGTATAAACCCACCCCGCCCCATCTTCTACTGCTGTATGAACCCACATTTAGGTCAAAGTCATTTAGCACAACTTTAAGTGAGATTTCCTCATCCCTAAATTAAGCACTTTGTCATCACCAACAGGGATGGGGTAAAGGCGCATCATGCCTCTGTCTGCCTGGAGTAACTCCTTCTGGTAGATGCATGAGGCCAGGCTGTACAGGCTCTGAAAGGAGCTGTGGCTGATGCGGTCTCAATCATGAAGCAGGGTCTTTGGCTGTGGTATAGAGGGAGAGGAAGCATTAGAGAAGGGTGAAGTGCACCCTATGCCCAGTGCAGCTGGTGCTATTGTGATGGGTTTCTGGGATCCCGCATTGTCTTGCCCTATTTGCTCTTCTGCATATAGACCCCGCACCTGAGCAAAATAACTTCTCTCTCTTTAATGGGCCATAAGGTGTTTCTGCCTCAGAGGTCCAGCCCTCTTCATGTCTGCTCCTTCAATAACAATTCCAGTCCGTGCTGGCCTGGAGCCCCATCCAGCCCTTTTTGAACCCAACTGGAGACTTTTCATTGGCTTTAACAGGAGCTAGACTGGCCTCTAGAGGCAAGTGACAATGTTGAATGATGACTAGGTCCTTCCCCATTAGCAGCTTGGAGCTAAGCACTGGGAAGGCATTTATTTCACATAAAAAAATTGGCACTGATGTCAGCACCCCAAATCTTTACGTCTCACAGCTCACTAACAGCTAGAACTAATTTTGGACAGGTTTGTCTGAGCTTTCCTGCAGGATTGCCAGGTCTGAAACACACGTTCTGTGGAAATTGCTGCTATTTTATGATATGTTAATGCTTAAAAATATACCTTCTGTGCAGTTTCCTCACAGTGATGAATCCAGAAGCAGTTTGGTATGTAATTATAGCTTCTTATATCAGGGCATCTCCCTTCTGACATTTGTTCCAGTCTCGGAATGTTTCTTTTTAATGCATGTACTGAAATGAACTGAAACGCCAGAAGATGATTCACAAAGAAAACTGAAGAGGGTGCCAGCTCGCACACGCCCCTGTATGAACAGCCGTGCTGCTGCTGCTCCTTGGACAGCTGTAGAACATGCCACAGACCAGTTGTTTGCTAGAAGCGGTGCTGGATCCATTTGAGAAAGAGCCTGGACAAAATAAGAAACGCTGTTTTTATTTCTCACCGCTGTCTTTTTTGCTCCTGGGTTTCTCCTTCATGCCATGGGATGGGACTGATGATGTGGACACCGTATTTTGGTAAACCAAGGAGAGTTTTTCACTTAGCATCCATATCAGATTACTTACTAGGTAAAGTCGCTGGGGATCCCCCACCAATGAATCAGAGAGGAGACATGAATAAGGCTGTCAGAACTGTGATTTGAGAAGGGGGCTGGTTTCATTGAGTCTGACGTGATCTCCCATTCTAACCTGCTCAGGGACACTCCAGCTATTGCTTGAACTACTGGAAGAGTTCAGTGTTTGTTCTCACAATTCTGACCAATATCCAGGCCAATAGGAACCTGGGGGAAATTTGGTGCATGGCGACTTTCGTAGAATCACATGCTCTAGAGATGGAACAGACCTGTTAGATCATCCAGTTCAACTCGCTGCCAATGGAAGATTGCTCCCTTTTTTGCACTGCAGGTGAGAAACATGAAGGAATCAATCTTGTGCAGCTCAGGGCAGAGTGTAGTGCATAGACACAGAAGCTGGAAAGCGAGCACAGGTGAACCTGATCCGGCATTAAAAAGATTGATCCTGTGAAGTTTCAAAGTTAGTCCTGCCTAACAGCAGCAGTGAAATGAAATCTATGTGGGGAATGCCCAGCTAAATGCCTCATTTGTAAGGTGAGGATTGCACTTAAGTGCATGCCTCTTCAGACATGACCGTCCTCTGTCCACACCTGATCCCTGTATTGCCTTGAACTACTCAGAGCGCAGAGATGACCTTGGTGTTTATTGCCATTCAGAGTGGAAGCTTCTGCTGGAGCACAACGTCTTTGCCCTTTGCCTTTTCACATAAGGACCTGCAGGACAATAACCCATATGTTCTACAATTCATTTTTGCTGACTAGAGATGGGAACCCAGGTCAGCATTGTTTGAAATGTAGGTACCTAATCTTAGGCTCCTGCCTCCGTATGTAAATAAGTGGGCTGATTCTCCAAAGCACTGAGCATCCAGCAACTCTGACAGATTGATTAGATGAAGTCCCATCAGTGTCTTAAATCTTTTATATGAGTTCTGAATGGCTTCTCATTTGTCAATATCTTCCCAGTATAGAGGAGTGCAAACTGCGCAGCTTAGCACGGGGGGGGGGGCAACAATATATTTCTCGTGTCACCAGTCCCACAGCAGAGCCAAGGCACTGAAATGGAAAACTCAGTCCCCTTTCTTGGGGCACTGCCGCAGAGCACCTCTTCAAAACAGCCTTGCTGTAAGCACTGTCTCACTAGACTCATGTAGGATTAGATCCTGGCCGGTGCTGAATGCCTTCTGCGCAGTGTTGTGAACTTAAGACTCCCAGCTTGCAGGATCAGGCCCACAGAGAGAGCCTAGCGTCTCCCTCTTCTGAGACAAGCCTCACATGGCTTTTTGTTCCAGCATATTATCAGTGCTGCTTGCTGCCATTCCTTCCAGCACCGCTGCTTTCAGTGTCTGTCTTTCCCGTTTTCATATGTGTGTTGGGTTATTTCCCCCGCTATGTTTTGGCAGGCATTTTTTCAGCTTGAACATCATGTTGTTTCTTCCTGTCCATACTTCTAACCCCCTTGTAGTAGATTCCTTTTGAAATACATATCCTTTCCCAGGAATCTTTGCAACATTTCCCAGATCAGCATCTCCTCTGAATGCCATCACATTCACATGCCGCCATTTGCTCCTCCTTCCCAAATCTTTCAGTCCAGTGGGCCTTTGCTCAGCAGCATTCGCCAGCTGTTGGTGAGATGTATGGAAAGGGTCTGAAGAGGAATAAAGGTTTTCCATCTTCATTTATTGCACCTCTTTTGGATAAAGGAAACACTCCAGTCCCTGTTACTGATGTGCTCATCCAATGGTCCCAGTGAAAATATGATAGGGCAGATTCTCATCTGGCATAAGTTGTCGTGACTCAGGAAGGAGTGGCAGTGGAGAAAAGGTGGAGGAGTTGCATTGTATGTAAGAGAGAAGTATGATTACTCAGAGCTACAGAATGAAACTGGAGAAAAGCCTGTAGAGCAGTGGTTCTCAAAGCCGGTCTGCCGCCTATTCAGGGAAAGCCCCTGGTGGTCTGCCGCCTATTCAGGGAAAGCCAGTATGTTTACCTGCCGCGTCCGCAGGTTTGGCTGATCGCGGCTCCCACTGGCTCCGGTTTGCCGCTCCAGGTCCATGGGGGCTGCAGAAAGCGGCGCGGGCCGAGGGATGTGCTGGCCGCCCTTCCTGCAGTCCACATTGGCTTGGAGAGGCGAATCGCGGCCAGTGAGAGCCGCGATCGGCCGAACCTGTGGACGCGGCAGGTAAACAAACTGGCCTGGCCCGCCCGGGGCTTTCCCTGAACAAGCGGCAGACCGGCTTTGAGAACCATTGCTGTAGAGAGTCTTTGGGTTACGTTTAGAGGCGAGAGCAACAAGGGTGATGTCGTGGTGGGCGTCTGCTATAGACCACCAGACCAGAAGGAGGAGGTAGACAAGGTTTTTTTCGGACAACTAAAAGAAGTTTCCAGATCACAGGCCTTGGTTCTCATGGGGGACTTCAATCACCCTTACATCTGCTGGGAGAGCAATACAGCCGTGCACAGACAATCCAGGAAGTTTTTGGAGAGTGTTGGGGACAACTTCCTGGTACAACTAGGGGCCGTGTTCCTCCATGTATCTGCCATGTCAAACTGAGATTCAAAGAATGCTGCCACATTCTAGTACCACACAAGAGTTGCACTGGAAAATGGAAACCAAGGGCTTAATTTTGTGGCATCAATTAAATTTTGATATTGGTATGAATTCCAGCATCGGCCAATAACTTACATTTTAGAAGAAACTCACTGGTATGTACAATTAGGGACCATGTAGTACAACTAATAGTAAAACTAGGGGCCATGCTCCTCTTGACCTGCCGCTCACAAACAGGGAAGAATTGGTAGGGGAAGTAGAAGTGGGTGGCAACCTGCGCAGCAGTGACCATGAAATGGTCGAGTTCAGTATCCTGACAAAAGGAAGAAAGAAGAGCAGAATACGGACCCTGGACTTCAGAAAAGCAGACTTTGACTGCTTAGGGAACTGATGGGCAGGATCCCCTGGGAGGTTAATATGAGGGGAAAAGGAATCCAGAAGAGCTGGCTTTATTTTAAAGAAGCCTTATTGAGGGCACAGGAACAAAGCATCCCAATGTGCAGAAAGAATAGCAAATATGGCAGATGACCAGCTTGGCTTAACAGAGAAATCTTCGGTGAGCTTAAACACAAAAAGGAAGCTTACAAGAAGTGGAAACTTGGACAGATGACTAGGGAGTAGTATAAAAATACTGTTTGAGCATGCAGGGGTGTAATCAGGAAGGCCAAGGCACAATTGGAGTTGCAGCTAGCAACAGATGTGAAGGGTAACAAGAAGGGTTTCTACAGGTATATTAGCAACAAGAAGAAGGCCAGGGAAAGTGTGGGCCCCTTACTGAATGGGGAAGGCAACCTAGTGACAGATGATGTGGAAAAAGCTGAAGTACTCAATACTTTTTTTGCCTCGGTCTTCACAGACAAGGTCAGCTCCCAGACTGCTGCATTGGGCAGCACAGTATGGGGAGGAGGTGAGCAGCCCTCAGTGGTGAAAGAACAAGTTAAGGACTATGTAGAAAAGCTGGACATGCACAAGTCTATGGGGCAGATGCAATGCATCTGAGGGTGCTGAGGGAGTTGGCTGATGTGATTGCAGAGCAATTGGCCATTATCTTTGAAAACTCATGGCAATCGGGGGAAGTCCCGGACGATTGCAGAAAAGGACCTGGGGATTACAGTGGACGAGAAGCTGGATATGAGTCAGCAGTGTGCCCTCATTGCCAAGAAGGCCAATAGCATATTGGGCTGTATTAGTAGGAGCGTTGCCAGCAGATTGAGGGAAGTGATTATTCCTCTCTATTCGGCACTGGTGAGGCCACATCTGGAGTACTGTGTCCAGTTTTGGTCCCCCCACTACAGAAAGGATGTGGACAAATTGGAGAGAGTCCAGCGGAGGGCAACGAAAATGATTAGGGGGCTGGGGCATATGACTTATGAGGAGAGGCTGAGGGAACTGCGGTTATTTAGTCTGCAGAAGAGAAGAGTGAGGGGGGATTTGATAGCAGCCTTCAACTACCTGAAGGGGGGTTCCAAAGAGGATGGAGCTCGGCTGTTCTCAGTGGTGGCAGGTGATAGAACAAGAAGCAATGGTCTCACGTTGCAGTGGGGGAGGTCTAGGTTGGATATTAGGAAACACTATTTCACTAGGAGGGTGGTGAAGCACTGGAATGGGTTACCTAGGGAGGTGGTGGAATCTCCATC